GGCTTTCTTCGAAAACTCGGAGGACAGAGCACGCTTGCCAATTTGTTGCCGTGTTCCACTTGTGCTGATCCCCGACCGTTCAGGACATCGTCTATGCGGCCAGAAGCTCAGCAGGTTGGCCCCAGCGTCGCCCAGCTGATCATCACAGTCCGGTGCAGTCGGGCTTTTCAGCGAGCCACTGTACAAATGCCTCACCGTTGTCGGCCATTAACTTAGCCCGCGATGTCTGCAGTCTCCTGCACTCGTGCCTGGCGTCGCCACTTCTTTCCCTGCTCCTCTCTTTGCTTGGTGGTGTTTCCGAGAACTCTTGCAGCTGAGGCTTTCGTTTGCCCAAGTAGACGTCACTCACGACTGACCTACCTTTTTCATTTCAGCCCAACACTTATGACGCGAACTGCTTGCAGCTCACAAAACCAGCTTGTCAGACACGACATAAACCGCCAGATCAGCCTTGCCAACTGGCCATCAGCGTAAGACTAACATGAACTGTCAACAGCTTCTATTTGGTCCTTTCGTGTTTGTTCCTAATTTGCGCAATTGCTCTGTTGGGCTCTCTGTTGCTTTCTGATGTATTCGACTGTTTTCCTTTGCATACAAACGATGCCTCTCAAGTGCAGTCAGTTGCTCTCAGGTTCACCCTGTTGCTTTCTGTAGGCTTCAACTCCAAGAAGCATAAATCGGTCGCCTGATGCCAAGGCTGTGGTTGTTCACACCCTCGACCTCTTGTTGATCTCCATGGCATGAACGACCGACTCGCTGATTTGTTTTCATTCCCTCCACATAGAGCGCAAGCCATGAGGCTCCTGACAAGACGCAGTAGGTGAAGCAGTGTGACTGTGATTCATTGCTCGACTTTTTGATGCGTGTCTTCGTGACCGGTGAGGAAGTTCAATGCTGCTGGCAAGGTCTAGGAAGTCTAGGGAGGCCCCACATGTGTGCGTAGGTGGTTCGTTTACGTCGACATGATGGATGGTGATATCAAAGTTTGGAAGCAGATTCGCAGAGGTGTCTTCATGTCAATCGTGAGAGTGCCGCCAGATGCCACCAGTGTGGCTGAGGATCCCACCAAAACCGTCCAACTGCGCGAGATGCAAACAGTCAAGGCGCTTGTCAGCTCTGCATCTGATCTACAGACGGCAACGTTTCGACAGCGCTTGCAGGCCAGCCATGGAATATTCGAGGTTCAAGCCGCGGACCCGGCCGCAGTGTTTCAGAACTAGCTAGCTACCATTAGCTACCAGTAGCATTGCCGAAGGTAGTCTTACCCGAAGCCTGCATGGCTGGGATTCACGAGGTACAGCATGGTTTGCAGCATCACTCTACTTTTGGAACCGACACGATGTAAATGCAAAGGCTGTTGCGAGGAGCCGTTCTCTAGCAATATGCAAATGACTAAGATCCTGCGGAAGGGACAAGGGTCGCAATGATGTTTAACTCTAGCAGTACTTTCCGGATGCTGAGTCGCAGCCTTTGTCGGACTACTGTCGACTGTCCACGTGCCGTCATAAGATTCTTGAGATCCCCACGCGCGATATATCTGCAACAGTTTCCGAGGTGCGGTAATATGCTGAGCGGTGTGCAATTGGAAAGAAGCACGAGCCGAGATGGAAAATATCGCATATATCGCGAAGTGCGAAGGAAAGTGGGCTCAGGCTTAGGCTGCAGTGATGTAGAGGCCGAAAGCGACAGAACTACCTGCAGATGCAATGGCGAAGCTCGAATCTACGGCGAATCTTCGTCAGCGTCACCCTTATCCGAACTCCTCTTTCAGACTGTCGGTTCACCTTCCAAGGCGTTGCTCTTCTCATGTGGACAGTCGCAGGAGCTGGCGTGTCCTCCAAATTAATCTTTTGCTTTGCGAAGCGGCTTTTTGTCAACACTCTGTGCATGTTTTCTGCTGAAAATGATGCGGCATGTGCAATACCGCGCGAAAAGCTGGAGCCGAAACCCATAGTCTTGTAGGCGACCATGGCCACTGATAATTGTGAAGACATCGCCGCAGAAGGGGTGGCAAAAGCCGCCGTGCTCAACAGTCGTAGAGTGCACATCCTCATCCCTCCGGCCAGCTGGCAGTAGAGAGGGGTCCGTCGGATAACTCGGCGACAGAGGCCTAAACTCTACTCTAAAAGGGGTCAGGAAAGTAAGGAACAGGCAAACAATCAAGCATCTTTGTCTTGATATGTTTCTATCTCTGCCAGTATTTACACTGTCTTCAATTCTGTGCGCCTCACCAGACTGCACCTTACACTGAGGCCCTGAGCGGAAATCTGAAGATGAGGTGTCGACATGCTTACGAACTGTGGCAGCCTCGCGCCCCAGAACTGTTGCTTGCTTTGCGTTCATTTCGGGGAGAGGTCTAAAGCATCTTTTTGGACTAATGTTTGTCGCATCTCAGCCTTGACGCACATGTGTGACCATTTCACAGATTAACATTCCTGCAGCTTTCCGGTGTCACAGCCATGTCGCGTCTTCGATCAATTTATCTTCAAGCCTTTGGGAGATACGTGCCACATGTGCCGAATTGCCTGATGCTGGCTCAGAGAAGCTTTCGTGCAGTCTGTTGCGGTAACCAGAAGTGTTGCCTTCACCGACGTGCCATGCCGAAGTTCCAGCATCTTGACTATTGATTAATGCTGTTGCCAGCATACACTCCATGTAATTACTGTTGCAGTGGGTTGACTTCTACTCTGGCTCGCATCGTGGAAGGCTGAAGCTCGGAGACAAGTGGGAAGATTTTGTGGATCGCCAGGACCTGAAGCGCTTCCACTTGATGGTCGCATCCCGGAACTTGTCTGAGCGTTGCTGAGGTGAGGACGATATATTGATGAAGGATGGCCCAACTGCTTTCCCACATGCGTGAGTCTGCGTGCGTGCCTTTGTGTCTCTTCTTGTCTGTCTGTGTGTCTCTCTACATGTATGGTTAGTTTTGCACGTATATGTATGTGTATATGTGTGTGTATGGATATATTTATCAATAATATTTACATTTTTGAATATGAATATAAGTAAGTATAAATAAATATATGTGTGTGTGTATATATATATATAACGATCTGATTCTTCACTTGCTGGCAGGCATTTCTCAATGGGAAGAAATCTGCGGAGTTCCACAGTCGAGGGCAGGAGAGAAATCTAACATTCACGCACGGCTTGACAACCTCATCCATTCTTGTTGGAGGACTACTATGTTGATTTTGCCAAGATGGTGCAAAGAAACGTAAAGTCAGGCTCGGGCTGACAAAGTTTCAGGGGTGGCGACTGAATGGAGCTGCAGCATGCGTCCGGCAATACCTCGCATGTGCAAGCTTCCGTGGCATAGAGATTCTTCACAGAATCTCCACTCCGCGACCTCGCAACAGTCCCGATTTGTTGTAGATTTACCCTGCCTCCATGTATACTTGTTTGGATACCCTTTTAAATGACTATGTGCCTGTACGCTCTGCTGATGCTCGAGATCAAGTCCACAGAGCAAGAGCATGCTCAGCGTTGACTAAGCGGCAGTGCCTTGGTGTGAAAGATGGAAACTTCAGGTTATCAGCCGTAGATAGTTCGCAATGTTTCGTAAACGCGAGACGCTTACCCTATAGGGTGTGCTGTGCGAGTACAAATCACATGGTGCCGATTAGTTGTTGAGCCATGGCTCCGTCCCCCGGCTTTGCAGTCGTCTGCTGGCCCTCAGCTGCTCCGCACTGCCTGTCTTGACAATCACGCTCTTCGGCAGCCCTGCCCTGCATGACGCGTCCTCGCCGCAAGGGCATGTTGCAGCACTGAATCGCCACCGGCGGCGGGAGCTCACAGCCTGCCTCTTGCAACTGGCCGCTTGTGAACTCTAGCCCCCGAGTGGGACCCCCTGCGACCGCCGGCCCACTCGCGCATTTTTCCGCAAGCAGCGCGTCTCCTGGTCCAGTGCCGCCAGCCCCGAGCCTGGTCCGGATGGCCTTACCGCAATCATCCGCAATCAGCGCATCGGGGAGGCGCTGAACCCCGTCCTAGCGGTCCGCCTCGTAAGTGTTCCCCTGGCCGAGGCCGGCCGCTCCAGCCGTGTGTCCTCTGCCCTGTTCCTGGCTGCCCGTCGGCAGATGCCTCCACTGCACGTGGCTGGCCCAGCCATGCATCAATGCGCCCACATCTGGATGCACACTCTGGTGTGGGATGCCGAGAAGGGCCGTTCCTGCTGACTACTGCCGCACACATGGCCTGGACAACTGCCGTCTGTGGTATGCTTGTCTCTGCACGGTTCAACGGCCCGCACCCTCGCTGCAGGCCAACTGCTTGCTGCTGTGCCCGGCTCTGCAGCGCGCCCTGTCAGTAGAGGCCTTGCTCCTGACATCGACAGCTTGCCTGACTTTGCCACCGTCTTCAGTGCCAGTATTCCTGCGTTGCGCGCCATGTGCCCAAGGCAGCTCGCGGTGCCTGGGCACAATGCCTGGCCCGCGCACTCGCCCATGTTGCAGGACATATCTTCTTTCGGGCGGTTCTCATGCTGCCCAACAAAAAGCGGTCCTTTAGCCGACGCAGCGAGGGGGCGCCGTCGCGAGCATGCCGCTCGCTTCACACAACGGTGCTGCGCCCGAGCCCCCCCCGCCGCCCCAGACAGGCTTCCGACTGAAGCTTTGTCCACCGCCCGTAGAGCCGGTAAGGACCTTGGCCTCATTCAGGACCCTTCTCGCTCCGTTAGCCCTACTTGAATGAAGAGCAGCGGCTATGGAATCTGTTTTCCCCCGAGGGCAAGATATACCAAGAATGTCGATTTCTGAGCCGCTGGAAGACGACCGAAGGTTCAAGTGCCCGAGCTAACTTATGCTAAAATCCTTTAGCATTGCATTGGCGTCCACACTTCCTGTTCTTGTTTTTGTCTGCTGTGCATTGTACATGACTTGTCTTGTCGCCATACTGCATGCAGCCGGTGCACGTGCAAGCCATCGCAAGCCCTCTCTGGAATTGTGAATGATGTTTGCATGCTTACTGCTTGCTCAGTGTTGATGGTCTGTGTCTGTCAGGCAAAGAGCGCCCAATCAAGATAGTATACGATGATGAAGGCGGCTCCGTTTGCCAAGCTTGAGCTTGAACCTCCTGATTTGTCTGCAAGGCAAGCCGGTCAAGCCGAAGCCTGAAAAAGCCGAGTACCCCAAGCCTACAGCAGATCAAGCTCTACATGGCATGGCTGCTGGGGGCAGGCACCGTCTTCGGAAAACATGACACGTGCTGAGCGCCGGCACATCACTCTGGCATGGCTGTGTGATACTTAGGTCTCTTCTACATTACTCATGTGGAAATCTAGGAAGGCAGTGCAGGAGTGGCCTGTTTGGTCGCTTGTACTCCTCAAGACACTCACTCGTGGACTCAAAAACCAAGTCAAAAAGTGCTAGCCACTGATTGCTTCGATGGATGTTTGTGTAGGAGCTTGAAATCGTGCTTGTAACAAGCAGGGACAGTGCGTGGCACGTGGCAACTTGGCGGGTCTCGTCACGCTCACCAGAATGTTGTGAGGAGTTTGAGTAAAACAGGAGCAGCCTTTCAACGACAACGAGACGTGGTGGTCTCTGCGAAACAGCGCGAAGCAATCAGTCGATGAGTGTTCGGTTGAAGCAGTGTTGAGCCATTGAACATGTTTGGGAAGAAGGGGGCATCTGTTGTTTTCAGCCTTGATCTCACTTGTTTCCGTGTCGAATGTGTGTCGAAAGCAAGCCGCACATGGCATGCCACAATTTGGTCGGACTTGAGACTTGGTCGCTCTCGTTGCTGACACACCGCGGCAATGGAGGAAGAATAGTGCACATGCATGCTCCTATTGCACGGGACACGTCTAGTCTAGTTGTGAAGCTTCGATTTCGCTGAATTCTGACTGACTCAACCGTGGCCGACGGCTCGTTAAGAAAGTCACGAGGCCACCAGTCGTGGAGGGTGCTGTGGTGGGGTACACCCCTGGAATGCCACCAGCTCATGCGCCAGTGCTTGACTTAGCGACTCGGTTTTCGGTCTTGTTGATCTCTTTGCGCAAAGTTTTCTGCGATGAGGCGGGAGCGTCACCAGGTGCGAATGATGAACTCAGACAAAGTGTTTCCAGCAGTCGCAGCTACGTTATGGGCATGCATATGCCGCCAAGCTGGCTTCCGACAGGCGCGTATACCCCAGGTGGCGCGGGACCGGGCTGCCATTATCATGCCCCGGCATCTGCACCGGGTCCATCCTACTATGAGACAGGAGCGAGCTTTGACTAGCATCTCTGACAACACGCGAACTCAAGGGTGCCCGCAGCAGGCTTCACTCCTCCATATGCAAGCCCTGGTCACGCGCACTACGCGCCGGGGCCGGCCTACACCCCAGGTCCAGCATATGGACCTGGTCCGGCATATGGTCCGGCTGTGCCCCGACTGATTCAGTCATGGGTTTTGTTGGGTTATTGAAATTTGGGGTTGAACTCCACCATGCATTGCCAATCATTGCCGCTACAGCGTGTTGTTGAGACTTCGGCGTCCAGATTCCACGCTGTGCGAGTATGTGTGTCACGATGCGTTGCAGCTTTCGTGGAGCTCCGTTCGTTACATCCTGGTAGAGCGAAATAGCCGCTAATGGGGTGACCTCTCTCAAACGACAGGCCCAGCTGCTCCAACAAACTATTAAGACAGGAAGACCATGGCTGAGTTCGAGTGACGGCAGTGGGTTTCGAAAGCCTTGAATGATGCAGGGACCTGGTGGCATGGGTGGAATGGGCGGTGGAGGCACTGGCGCCATGTTGGCAGCTGGTGGTGCAGGAGTCCTTGGAGGACTTTTGCGGCTTGACTCATGTTGGTGCCAGCTGCGCTACCTTTTGAAGTAAAAGCGCGGCTGGTTAAAGTGCAAAATGCATGGCACATGGCAGTTTTGGACGACGAGGTTGGGCGAGATCTTGGACTGATCTGCTGCCGCAGCCTGGCACTACGTAAGAGGGCTGGGCCTGAGACATGTTCCTCATGTTTAAATTACTCATTGCTCTTGCCTGGGTCTGTTCTCACCAGGTTTCGGGCCTGGCGCAGTTGCCGAGGTCTCATGTCTCACCAGGCTGTGATGCCTTATGGCTCCGGCTGATAGTTAGGGTGTAAAGCTCACAGAGTGTAACGTGGAGGAAAGGCCCGTGACTGCTGGGGCCTTGCGAACCTTTGTGTAAATGTTGGGTTTCAGCCCTGAAAGGGTTGACTTCCGTTACCAGCCTCCTGCGAGGGGGTGATTCGGCCTTTTGCTAGAGTCTGAGTCACAGGCCGATTTCGCGAGCAGTTCCCTCCGTGCTTGCTGGCATGACATTCCTGACAAGGATATCATTGGAATCTTTTAAGGTGCACAGTCTCAGAGCGTCTCGCTAGCAAAGCACTGCACAGCGGCATCTGCCAGAGGGAGATTTTCAAAATGCCTGCACCCTTGAATTATGCCGACCAGGTAGTGTGCTGTGTTTCTGCACCAATCTGAACACTGAAAGACAACCGCGAGTTTCAAGGTCGAGCCTTTCGGAGTTCCGGCCTCGGGGGATAGCAAGGTCAATCGTGCGATTTCATCCCGGCCAGTTTTCTCGGAGGCCCTGGGGGCAACCTTTACCAAGCATGTGAAAGGCAAGACCGCTGCTAGCCCGGAAAGTCATGTCAGGGTGTGTGCCAAGAGTCGTTCATGTGAGCCTTTTGATGTCAGTTGCCCATGGGCCAAGGTTGAGTGGATGAACATTAGAGAACCTACAGGTCAAAGACTAAGTGCTCAGCATGTGCTTAGCACCTTGCCTCCCGACTAGCGTCGCTGAGACTCGCCGGTGCGGCTGCCCAAGCCAGGTCCAGCCCGGCGTGAATTGCGTATTCATGATTCCATAGCTGAGTAGCTCGCCGTAGCTTTATAGTGCCAGACCGTAAACTACAAAATGTGGTTGCAGTCTAGCTCTTCTCATCTTCGGCCGAGAGGTGAGAGAGGCTTTGGAGGGTTCGTCAGCGCATGGCGGATGGCTGGAGCCTAGCAAAGAGGAGTCGTATGTAGATCTTGGCAGAAGCATCTCTCTACACCTGGGTCAAACTCTGATCCAGAACGTTGTCGAAGTGTGCATGCAGGTGCGAGTGCAAAGCCGATGCATCAGGGGCCGTTGAAAATTGTTAGATGCTGAGGCCATCATTCCGTGGTTCTGGTTTGTCGAGTCACTGGTCCCTGAGGTGCAAGAGGATGGGTCAGAGCAGGCCTGGGCGATTCCGTGGCAATTTTGGACTGGCAGCCCCGACAGATGCGCTACTTCCTGGTGTACAATGACCGCTTCGAGCATTTCACCGATGCCGCGAAGGCTCTTCGAGGATCCGGCTCCTCGGGAGGCTCGCTCTGATGTGAAGGATCATTTCTAACTCCAGTTCCTCGCAACTTCGCCGCTACGCGTGAGCGGGAACGGGCGGGATCTTGTTTATTTGCGCAACAATGGCAGAGATTACAGCCAAAGTGAAGTTTAAAGCCCGCCAGATCTAGGGCTCCCCGCGCAGTCCATTATGATTGCAGGAGCGGTCCATGCAATGGACGTAACCTCCGTGCGTGTTTTTGCCTCAGCGTGCTGTCATATGGAATTCATGTGGCATTCAATCTGACTTGCTCAGGTCATTGAGAATGCTTTTGTCTTCAAGCTTCGGCAAGAAAGCCTTTGCCCCGGTGGCAGTGTTGGCAAAATTGCTTGGAACTTCACGACCATGCGTGGAATTTGTGGAGAGAGGCTGGTACTGCCTTTCTTGCGGCCTATAGATGGACGAGACTAAGGTCTGCACGTCCAAGTGCCCATTGGCGAGGACCATGCTTGCATGTTTACAAATGGGAAGCATGCGGAAGGAGACGACCCCGCTTGCCACCGCACACAGGACATGGAACTTTGGGTCTCCGCGTTTCAGCTCCTCTTCCACCCCCAGAGAACCTGGCAAGTTTGTCATTCATCTGGCAGCCATCTGACATGTTCCAACAAGCAAGCCAGCAAGCATCGTGGCCGTGGCATTTCCTTTGCAGGAACGATGCAGGCCATGTCGACGCCTGAGGGTTAAATGGGTGACGTGCCATGTCACAGATTTCGTGTGTTCGGCGTGTGGTCATGCATGGCTGCGTTTGTCTTGAAACTCTTGGTAGACTCGACACGGAGTCAGACAACATGGCTTCATACAGTTTGCAAGAAAATGTTCGGTCTGGGTCGTATCAGCCCTGTTCTGCTGAGAACCCCACGAATGTGGACGAGCTGCAAGTCTTGCACAAGCGTGGCGCCTTCATGAAGGACCGATTGGTCATAAAATCAGCTGTTGTAATTTTCAGCTGCTAAGCGATTCAGGATGGGGAAAGGCGAAGAATGGAGTCAAGCGACCTTGCAGCGGAGGCCAGCACCCGTCCCGAAACATGCGGCCTTTATACTCGAAGGGTTAAGAAGACGCTCTGGGTTAGCTATGCTTGGATGTCTGCAACGGGGACAATGGCGACATCAGTTGAAGTAAACAGGTTCAGGACGAGCGCTTCCAGCATTGGCTGCATACCCTGCCAGTGCAAAGCTCGGGCTTCTCAAGTTCACAGCGCAGAGAGACGAGCCTTTCTCGGTCCCAGAGCTAGACGATTTGAGATGTTCGGTAGGAGTCGAGCCAAAGGAATCGATTTTGAGTGACACTTGATCTTAAACCCACTCTTGACTTTAGGTACCTTTAGGTTGAACTGCAGCATGATTTGCTTCAACATCCTTGAAGGTCCTTTTTTGCAGTTAGTGTGTTTCGGCATTCAAACCGTGCTTGCATGTGTACTTGTGCCAACGACCACCTTCAGTTGTTGGCCTCGCCAGGATGAGGCTCACAATGCACTAATTGGTACACCCTTGGTTCAGCTACGCCTTGCGTCGTTCGTTTGGGGTATCGGCGTGGGGCGCGGGTAGGGGGATGGGAGCCGGCAACAAATTTCAAACTGGGGTGCGGTCCACAGCAAGCCTGGTCGTGCACACAACATCACACAACCACCTTCCACAACCATGTGTGTCCTCGTTGACATCTTTCGGATGGTGTTCGAGGGAAGAGGTTAGTTACGTCTAGTTGGCGAGAAACGGTGTGACGGTGCGTGCAGAACCACTGTACATGTGTTGGCATGACTCAACAAACTGGGCGAGTAGCAGGGCGTGCCCGGGGATGGCAACCAACACACACACACACACAC